CTTCTGCCTGTGGCTATCCCGCCCCCCCCCCGCCCCCTTGATGTGGAGGTGGGCACTCCACACTTTTCTGGGAGCGGTCCATTTTGCTCCAGAGATTGGATCCTTGGGGGTGGGCGGGGCCATACCATCCTCCCCATCCTCCAGCACTCTTGAAACAGGGAAACAGGAAGGCGTTTGCTTAGAGAAGGGGCCCCTCCTGGCCCTTCCTGCCCAGCCTGGTTCCTGTCCACCGTAGATCTCCCGAGCTCTGACCTCTCCATCATGTTAGCGCTCCGGACCGCGATCTCCCTCAGCGCCTTAGGGAGCTGGGGCCTGGGGGATGGTGGCGGACACCTGGCTCCTGCTGCCCTCCTATCTGGCTTACCTGGTGTGGACACTGGCGTACTCTGGTGCTGGAGGGTCGCGTGGCCTGGGACCCCAGCCGCAGCTTCCAGAGCGACAAGTGGGAGTTGCTACAGAACTACACGTCTGTGGATGGCCGGGCACTAGACCGGGCATTGCTGATCTGGGTTAGGGGACAGCCTGGAAAAGAAAAGATGGGTCAAGGGGGCGCGCGGAACGCAGGACAGGGATGCTCTGGCCCGGGACAGTGAAGTGCTGGGAGCTGTTACTTCCTGGAGAGGTGGAGGGCCAGGCCTGGGAACAGCAGGGCTGTGCGGTTGTCGGGGTGGGCAACGGCAAGGTTGACCTGAACAGCAACAGAAAAGGCCTCCATCCTTAAGGAAATAAGAGGGCATGGCTATCCTTGTGGGAACCCAGACATTTTAAATTTGGAAATAAGGAATACAGAAGGTATGCTTCCCTGGGTCACAAGATACAGGGGGGTCGGGATAGGGTCAGGTAACATTTGATCTTGTGGCAGCCCTGTGTGAGACTTACTGGGACAGAGGGCAAAGAATGAAAGACCACACCTAGCTTCTTACAAAGGGCTGGGGAGGGGCAAATAGGGATCTCTAGGGTGAGGCTAGGCTCTAAGGAGAGACAGGACTCTGGGCACTTGGGAAAAGGCTCAGCCAATAGGGGTGGGCAAAGCAGGGTCAAAATGGCAAAGGAGAGAGGGGCTGGGAATGAGTGGACTTGGGGCTGAACCCAGAGTTGAGACCAGTTTGCCCGGAGGTCATCCCGTCCCACCTGCAGGGCAGTCAGAGAAAGGGTGGGCAAGGGAAAGTGCAGAGATCACGGAGCCAGAGGCTCCTCAGCCAATGAGGATGCTTTAGGGTAGGGAGGCAGAAGGCAATTCATCCTGGCAGGTCTTCCCATGGAGGGCTCTTCCACTTATGGCCAACAGGGCCAGCAGCAAATCAGTGTCCCTCTGCCAGCATCGCAGGGACAGACCTTAGACCCATATGCAGACTCTTCACACTCCTGCAAGGGCCCCAAGTCTCTAAGCTGAAGCCGGATACTGGAACGGAAGAGGAAATTGTTGGGGTGGGACAGGAGGTCGGCTGAGTGGAGATAGACTTTCAAACTTTTGGATGGGCCAGTTGGGCAGGATCTGGAGCTGGGCAGGATGGGGACTGTGTCTACCCACAACCACCACCATCAGTAAATTCTTCCTTCCCTTGCCCAGCCCCCATCTCCTCCGGAGTCTCACTAGCAGATACTATCATCCCCATTTAGAGATGAGGCAAGGCTCAGAGAGGGTTCCTATTGATGCAAGGCTGCACAGCTAAGAATGGAAACCATTGACCACCCAGAGGCAGCTTCAGGATGTCTCCCAGGAGTCCCAGCCATGCTCCACAGATTTAACCTTCACAGACAGGATTAGCCAATGTTAATATTAGTATTTACAGATAAGGAAACTGAGGCATGGAGAATGATCAATTTCTACACAGCATCCACACCTGAAACAGCATTGATGGCTTATGTCAGAGTTTATTCAGTTTTCTGTCCCACTGAAGGCTAAGTTCATGTCTCTGTCATCTTCCACTGACACCCAGCCTACTGCTTCCTGCAAGATTAGGACTGAGCTGGGCAGCAGATGAGTAATTACACCTGAGAGATAGCCTAGAACCCAGCTCTGGGATATGGAGTGAAAGAGGTTGCCATGATTCCTGTCTCTGGGGACCCCCTGCTTGGTAGGAAGGGTGGAGACTCCTTGCCCTGCCCAGGCTTGGAATAAAGAAAGACATTGTGTGAGTTTCCTGGGGACATATGAACAAAATTCTCTTCATCCCAGTCAGGGCACCAAAGGAACAATCCCACCCGTGTCTATCTGGATGAACCAGTGAGTTAACTGGGTTTACTAACAGGAACATGGGCCATTCAAAGGACCACTGAAAAGCCACCCCAGTAGGCATCATATCTCGAAGAAGCTGCACCCCCAGAACTCATCACACAACTTGCAGATAGCCACTGAGAAGTCCTCTCTCCTCAGCAAATTGTTACTGTGTATATAACGTGGAGGAGGGGCCTGGTGAATCCTGTAACTTTCTGAGCCTTAGAGACTTGTAAGAGAATGAAAAGAGAAAAATAAAGACATTGGCTCCTAGATATGGACTGAGGCAGGTTTATTGCAGATAGGAGGGAGCATAGGCAGAGGCTTGTGGTAGGGAGAGTAGGGAGGGGAGAAGGGAGAGTCAGTAGCCAAGAGGCCAGGAGAGCAGGAGCTAAGAACCAAGAGACCTGAGTAGCCAAAATGGCTGGGTTATAAAGGGAAGACAAGCTGGGGGAAGGGGCCCAGCCCTGTGCCTGGGCCAGAGAGTTTAGGGTGGGGGCAGGGAATGTTGATGCTGAGAGAGGCTGGGGGCGGGAGAAGCATCCACTTTGATATGTTAATAGGCACCTCAGCCATTTGTGCTGAGTTTGAGATCTAACTGTAAGTCCTATGAGCATCTCTCCTCCCTCTAGAAAGGTTTCCCTTTGTGGAAATTGGGTATACAATATGAAGGCTGCAAGAGTATGAGTGTAGGTGTGGCTATAGATGTGGGTATGTGGGTGTCTTGGTATGTGACAGTCCGGTAGGGCTGGGGAGATGACTGCTCCCTGAGAGCCTTCCTGAGAGGCAGTGGATCTGGTGATGGTCATTATCCAGGGTGTCATACCTGTAAAGAGGTCAGTTCTGCAGTGTGACCTCACCCTCCTACAAGCAGCACCTCCTGCTTCAGGACCCATGGACTTGAATTTTGTGTTTCACAGGGTACCAGGGGGACTGTACACATTTTGAAGTTTGGGGACTGCTGCCCTATGGAACTTTGGTCATTCTACCCAGCTCCTCCTACAGTTCCTCTTAGCCCACAGCACCTCTCATTCCTGTCACCATTCTCCAGATCCGTTTCCCCTCCAGAGCCAAGATGAGGTGGAATCCATCCCAAAAGAGCCCCTGGGGACGGTTGTTTGGAGACAGTATGGGTCAAAAGACCTGAGTTCCTGCAGCCCTGAATTCCAGGGAATAATGCCGGTGTCCCCAGTGCCCTTGCTCTCGGCATCCCCTGCGTGACCCAGAACTTACCACCAGGTGGCAGGCTCACACCAATGATGACTCAATCCAGCTTCCAGCTTCCTTGCCACGTCCTCCCAGGAGCGAGCAGGTGAATTGCACTATGCACAGCCCTCTGGGTAGTTTTAATTCAGCCACTACTTCTAGGAGGAAGCTCTGAGGACTCCAGAGAGCATGGACAATCTTTGAGACAGTGTGTGTGGAAGGTCCCTCAGTGTCCATAGACCTCCCAGACACCCTGGAAGGACTAACCAGCCATCATGGTGTTTTGTCTTTATTTATGTTAAATTTTTTTGTGTGTTTATTTATCTTGTGTGTGTGTGTGTGTGTGTGTGTGTGTGTGTGTGTATCAGAGAGAGAGAGGTCAATTTTGTTTATTTTTCATTCAGAAAGGGGGGTCAATTTTGTTTATTTTTCATTCAGAGCCATTCACCTTGTTTTGTTGTTGTTGTTGTTGTTGTTGTTGTTGTTGTTGTTTTGAGGCAGGGTCTCTCGCTAGGACCTAGGACTCACCAAATTGACTGGAGAGCTCCAGGGACTTTCCTATTTCTGCCTCACCAGTATTGAGGTTACAGGCACATGTCATTACACTCAGCTTTTTATGTGGGTGCTGGGGTCAGCAAGCAGGGCTTTGCACTTGTGAAGCAGGTATGTTACTGACCTATTTTTCTGGTGGGTTTTTTTTTTTTTTTTTTGGACAGGGTCTCTATTTTGTAACTCTAACTGTTCTGGAACTCACTTTGTAGACCAGGCTGGCCTTGAACTCACAGAATCCGCCTGCCTCTACCTTCTGGACACTGAGATTAAAGGTGTGTGGCACTATTCACGGCTTAGAGACCCTGTTTTAAGGGAAACAAAACAAAACAAGAGCTGAGAGGACAGAAAACTCAGAGAAAGAGGCCCCCGAGGAGGTTCTCAGGACAGATACCTGTGCGGGGCAAGTTCCCACCACTCATCTGTCCGTTCACTCAGGCTTGCACACATTGCCTGCACAGGGAGTTATACAGTGTGTCACCACTGTGGCTCATTACATCTCTGCCAAGGCAATGTCTGCACCCCATTTTAAGTCCAAGGAAATGGGCTCAAAGATATTAAGGACTCTGTCCAAAGTCCCACAGCCTTACACAGAGCAGGGGACAAGAAAGGCGGCTGGGATGGAAGAGGACTTTTGCTCATTATTGGAGCTGCCCACTCCAGAGAGGGAGTGGAATTCTGAGGTGGGGGGTGAGGGGTGACAGGAAGAGGGCTGCAGTGGCTATGTGCAGAGCCAGGGGAAGAGCCCTGTCCAGTTCTCCTCTCTCTTGCCCAAGGCTATGACAACCTGAGCCCACAGATCATGCTGCGTGTCTCTTCTGCATATTCTTTGCTCTCCTTGGGATTCCACTTAACCTTGTGGTGCTTAATCTGCTGGGCCACCTCATGTATCATGGGGTGCACAGATGTGCCCACCAGCTTGGGGGCAGCTGGCAGGTAAGGAAGTGGCCGGGAGCCAGGAGGAGTCACTTTCAGAAGAGGGACTGGTGGAAATGGGGTGTAGGGCGGGTGGAATGGGGATAATGGGGGGTTGATAGGGTTGGGGGAACAAAGTCCAGATTGGGGTCTTTGATCATTAAGATGTCCATTGTGGAAATGAGAAGGATGGCAGGCATCAAAGCAACCATAGGAAGCCGGGCATTGGTGGCGCACGCCTTTAATCCCAGGAGGTAGAGGCAGGCAGATCTCTGTGAGTTCGAAGCCAGCCTGGTCTCCAGAGCAAGTGCCAGGATAGGTTCCAAAGCTACACAGAGAAACCCTGTCTAGAAAAACAACAACAACAAAAAGCTACCATAGGCTCTTGGCAGGAAATATGGGGGAAACACAAAGCTGGAGATGGGGGAAAGGGCACCCTCTTCTCATTCCTCTAGCCAGAGCCACAGGCCAGTGCTGTGCACTGCAGGACCTGGGGTGCGCAGGGTGGCTAACTGGCTCCGCTGTGCTGCTCTCAGGCTTCCTGCTCTTCCTGTTGCTGCCACAAGGAGGGCTGGAGCTACATGGAGAGCTTCTACTTTGCCGTTATCACACTAGCACCATGGGCTTAGGAACTTCATGATTGGTGAGGCTGGCAGGGTGGGAACTCAGCTGCCTGCACCTTCCAAGCTTGGGCATCCACCTCAGGTTTCTGGCTGGTATCTTGTGTGGGTGGCTTGGTGACCTTGGGACACAGCTTGTAGCCTAAGCAGACTCTACCCTTTCCCAGTGTGGTGGGCTAACATCCCCCCCCCTTTTTGCTAGCCAGCTTATATCTGTAGATAGATCAATGCCCTAGAGGGACACGGAATCTAATCTCCCTTCTACCTAATCTCTTCCCCAAGCATCCCACCCAAGCTCCAGGTGAGGACCCAGGCGAAACAATCAGGGGACTCAGAGTACCTCTGTCTCTCCTCGGCCCAGGGGGAAACAATGGCCAACAAGGCCCCAAAATGAGGTCTATCAGCACTGTCACCTGGGGCCATGCAGGCACACCAGAGGCTGGCAACTTTGCAGGAAATAGTGGAGACAAGTTTCAGCAGGTGGCAGTGGGAGGGGCAGTCCTTGTAGCAGAGGCTGTGACTGACTCCAGCCATCCTAGCTAGCATCCCTTTCCCTCACTGGCCCTGAAGATCCCCTAAGAGTGAAGGTTACAGGTTCCTCCACCACCAGCTGGCCTTGAAGATGCCACACCCTTCAGTAGACCAGTGCCCTGGAGTGAAGAAGGGGTCTGTCATAAGAGTTTTTTTCCTGAGGCTGGGGGGTGGGAGGTGGGGAGCAGGGCTAGGCAACACCTATGCCCCTCTTTCTGAGATTTCACAGAGAAAACAAAGTTTGATTCTATCAAAACTCTCCCCTGGGGAACCATGCATTTAATAGGCTTACTTGCAGAGCACGGGTGAGGGGTTATGGGCAGGAGTGTGAGTGATCCCAAAGTGTTGTATTGCAAGGTTTTTACCTATCATGGGTGGTGATTCCCCATGGATAATTAGATGGAGCCCCCAAGTCCTTCCCTTCCCATACACTATATGCCTCATGCCATATACTGTATACTCATTCCCATGAGGGAATGTTAACAGTCCAGCTCAGCCGTGATGATCATTTGTAAGTGGGTCCAGCTGACATGATGTTGGCAGCTTGACTTGGATGGTAGTCCTATACAACAGGGCCCTTTCCCATGATTCTTTGGTGGACAGTTGAGATGAGTCTCTGTCAACTCTCTGGAACATTCTGTGGGCCTTTGGGATCAAGGTCCTCTGCCTTAGGCCTCTCCTCCCCTAAGAGAAGGGTCTCATATGGGGACAGGACTGCTATTCCAGCCTGGTCTTCCCCAACCTGTGGCTCCAGAAGTGACTTGGACAGATTCTCCTAAATGGGCCAGGTGCTTCCCTCCATGTGCACAGTGGGAGTAGGTGTCTGAGGAGAGCTGCAGCCAGCAGCATGGAGGACCAGGACTGCCCCTTCCAGTGCAGGAGACACTCCTTGTCTTAGTCAAAGTTCTGTTGCTATGAAGAAACATCATGACCATGGCATCTCTTTTAAAGGAAAACATTTAATCAGGGCTTGCTTACAGTTCAGTTTAGTTCCCTGTCATCATGGTCGAGACACAGCAGTGTACAAAGAAGATGTGGTACTGGAGAGGTGGCTTAGAGTTCTACATTCAGGTTGGCAGGAAGAGAGAGAGAGTGACGCTGGGCCTGGCTTGAGCATTTGAAACCTGAAAGCTCACTTCCAATGACACACTTCCTCCAACAAGGTCACCTATTCCAATAAGACCACACCTCCTAATAGTGCCACTTCCTATGAGCCTATGGGGATCATTTTCATTGAAACCACCACATTCCTGGGAGCTGTTTTCTCTTCTCTTTTCCCATTTTGATTTCCCGTCAGAGCAGGACTATTGCACAAATCTGTGCAGGTTGGGCACTGCACAACCCTGAAAGGTTCCCATCCACACAACGCAATGAGGCTTAACACCCAGGGAGTCATAAACCCTCTTTTCTTGTTCCCTGTGGTGCTTAAGCATCATATATCATGCTTCACCCTTTGAAAAACTTCAGGGTTTTCCCATAGTCTTAGGAAGGAACTCATATTCTATGACTAAGCCTAGGTGTGGTTCACCCCTGTCATCCCAGCATTTATGAAGACAGAGGCAAGAAGATCATGAGTTCAAAGACAGCCTGGTCTATATCATGAGATCCTGTCTCAAAAACAAAAGGGAAGAAAATTTCCCAACTAGGTAGTATTCTCTAGACACCAGCACTGTGGATATAGGAAGAGAGGCACCAGGCAGCCTCCAGGGAGGGGCAGGGGCATGGTGCCATGGCCTGTGACTATAGGAATGAAGGGGCCATCAGGGTCTCTCTGCCCAGGAAGCCAGTCTGAGGAAGGCAGGACAACCTCTGTAAGACCTCTGGAAAGCTCAGGCTTTTAGGATCTTAGCCTAGGACCGCGGCCACCCCAATCACCAGGCAGAGGTGAAAGCTTGATGCAAACTGCATGAGGCTTTATTGTTGTTTAACAAGCTAACCCCATGTTAGCTCGGGTCTTTCATTCACCTGCCATGGTGGATGGCTACAAAAGACACTGTGAAGCCACTGCATAGAGATCTTATAGGGCAGCATAAGGGGAGTGTCTAGGGGTACGCACAGGCTCAGGATTAGTGTGCCTCCAGGCTTGGAGGGTTTGCCCTGTGTTGAATGGTCAACTGGTTGTTATGGCCCATAGGCCCTCTCAGGGTGGTTGCTATGCTTTGTGCGTCATTGCTGTGCGCTTGTCCATAAAGCACACCCAGAGCTGTAAAGCATAGCACCACCAGCTAACTTCTGATTGGTTCCTTGCAGGCAGGCACCTAACCTCTAGTGACCAAGGAAAGGTCAGAAAAGCACGTGTCCGGCTGTTATGGCTGCCGAAATGGGGAGCTGGTCCCTTCACCTCTTCAGCTTTTTGCACTACAGCTCCCTTCCCTAAGCCCAGTCCAAAGTCCTGGATGCCAGAAGCGCTCCTGGGAGAGCAGTGTGGCCCACCGTGATCCTCTTCCTCTGTCCAGCATTTCTGCAGAAGACCCTACAGAGAGCTCCAGGCTGCTTCCCTTGCAAGGACTCTTGCTTATGTACATGGAGAAACTGAGGCCTGGAAAAGGGCAGGGAGTTGCCTAAGGCCCCAGCAGGCAAGTCAGGGCAAATCTAGGGTGGATTCCCAAACCATAAGTGTTATGGAAATTTCTCCACCACTTCCCCAAACCTCAGCCCTCCTGGTCCTTTAGGGATGGATGTGATCACACACACACACACACATACACACACACACACACACACACACACACACACACACACACACATACCTGGTCTTGGGTTGTCATTGCCCCGGCCTGAAGCCAGTAGCCAGAGTCACTCTAGAACCCAGCCACCAGCTCCTCCCACAGCCCTCATCTGCAATTGCTTTAGCTGCTCAGTGGAGCGCCTTGCCAGCTGCCAACTCTCCTGCCAAAAAAATGAAATCAAGGGAGAAAGTGCCTCCCCTGCTTCTGTGGCCAGGAGCCGGAGCTGCTGCCTGGGTCCGGCGCTGGTTCCGCTGATTTCATTTGGTACCACAAAGGAATCAGCTAGCCACATAACCCTATCAGCTTAATCTAGACTGCCAGCCAGGGCCAGGGACACTGGCCAGGTCTGATGCAGGGCCAGCAGAACAGGATGGAGGATGGGCCAAGGCAGGAAGGGCTGTGAGGACCCAAGAAGCAGATCTCCACCCTGCACAGGATCCTAAGCAGATGAAGGAGGCAGGTCAGGCTCCCAGGAAACATATAGACAGCAAGGGAACACTTTACAGAGCAGGCCTATGATGAGTCAGCTAAGTCTCAGGGAGACCCCCTCCGTGTCTTTTCTGGGCCATCCCTGATCTGGCATGTCAGGGCATACTGGATGAGCACTTGATGAGCAGCTCCACAGCTCGGGAGCATGCTGCTCCCAGTAGTTTTAGGATACACGATCCCAGAGACAGTCATGGGAAAGGGTTCTTTTGTCACAGCTGAGGAGGAAGACACAGCAAAGACACTCAGATTTTGAGAGGGCAACAGGCTATTCTCTGAGGAAGGATGTCTGAGCAGAGATGCAAGGATGAGGGGAAAGGTTGCAGGCCAAGCGCAACTGGAAATGGAGAGCTGTGGGAGCTGAGGGAACCGTGGGTGCAAGGATCCTGAGGCAGAAAGAAGGATAAAAGACAAAAAAAGCCAGGGAGGGCTGGAGAGATGGCTCGGTGGTTAAGAGCACTGACAAGCTCTTGCAGACAACCAGGGTTCAATTACCAGCACCCACATGGCAGCTCACAACTGTCTGTAACTCCAGTTTCAGGGTACCTGACACCAATGGCAAACACCAATGTACAGAAAATAAAGATAAATAAAAAATTCCTTTACATTAAAAAAAAAAAAGAAGTCCCATTTAAAAAAAAAAAAAAAAAAAAAAAAAATCCTTTACATTAAAAAAAAACAAGAAGGCCCATTTAAAAAAAAAAAAAAAAAAGGACAGGGAAAGAGAAACAACAAAGAGAGGGGCCTGCTGGAGAAGCAGAAGAGGGCTTGGAAGTCAGGACCCAAGGTTGTTTCCAAATCCAAGGAGGTGTCAGTCTGTCCTTCCTTGTCACAGGTCTGGGGGCTGTCTGCTTGACTGTCACATGATGGCAGTCATAGCTTCAAGGAACAAAGACAGGACACTTCTCTTGGTGCTCCATGGCTCTTCCTAAACTCCCTGACTCTCACTACCTGCTCCGTTTCAGCCATAATAAAAACAGAACATATGGAGTGGGGCTGTAGCTAAGTGGGTAGAGTGGGGATGTAGCAAAGTGGGTACAGTGCTCCCCTAGCATGCTCGAGGCCCTGGGTTCCATCCCCAGCATCATATAACTGGGTGTGGTAGCACACACCTATGATCCCAGCACTCAGGAGGTGGAGGCAAGGAGGATCAGAAGTCCAAGTCATCTTCAGCTACATAAAAAGTTCAAGGCTAGATTGGGCTTGGTGAGACTCTGTCTCAAAAATAATCAGGGGCTGGAGAAATGGCTCAGTGGCTAAGATTACTTGCTACTCTTGTCAAGGATCTAAGTTCAGTCTCCAGTACAGTCATGGTGGCTCACAACTATCTGTAATTCCAGTTCCAGGGGATCTGACACCCCCTTCTGACCTCTAAGGGATTACCAGGCACATACATGGTGCACAGATGTTCATGCAGGCAAAACACACATATAAAAATAAATAAATATTGCCAGATGGTGATGGTGCACACCTTTAATCCCAGCATGCAGGAGGCAGAGGCAGGCAGATCTCTATGAGTTCAAGGCCAGCCTACAGAGCGAGTTCTAGAATGGCCAAAGCTACACAGAGAAGCCCTGTCTCAAAAAATAAAATAAAATAAAATAAAATAAAAATAAATCTTAGTAAGTTTTTTAAAAACTATCCCACTCAGAATTCTCAGTTTCTGCCTGAGCCCCACAAGTTACATCCTCTGGCCTCCCCTTTCCCCAGACATGGGCCCATGGATCCTCTTTGGGATGGCCTGGCTAGCTCTGATCAGCAAACTGATCCTGTTCCAGTTTGAGACACCAGGGAACATGGGCACCTGTTCATAATGTTCACATTGCTCTAAGGGGAACTTCAAGGCCTGAACTTGGAGGCCTGGACAAAGAGAACATAAGGTCCAAACTCCATGGCCAGGCAGCTGCTTTGGGGGATCTGAGGGAGTCACACGGTATTTGGGACCTTCTGCTCAGGTTATGAACTATGCTAAGAACAACTAGCTGTATTCCACAATTGCTGAGTCTTCCTTCTTGGACCTCTGATTTTAGGCAGTATTTCCTGTCCTTCTTTCCAGCTAGGTTCATCTAGATAATTCAGGTTCATCCATTGGTTACATCCCATACAACTTACAGGATGCATCTTCGGAAATGAAGAATGCCCCTCTTCCCCTACTTCTTTCTTCTTGCCTTCTGCAATGATGACATGTGGCAGGAACACCAGCAATCATATTGCACCTCGAGGTAGAGACTATGATGACTGAAGCTGATTGCACAGCGACAGAAGAAGCTTGGATTCCTGTCCATCATGCCACCATCATGGCAAACTGGAACTGAACACCATTCGACTTGATTCATGTGAAAGCAACAGATGTCATATTAGAAATTATTATTTGGGTATTTATGATATATTGAAACCTACACTCAAAATTTTACATACATATCCAGAAACAGACAACATCTGAGGCTATAACCTACACAGAGAGGCAATGCCTGCCCAGGGAGAGCTTGTCCCGGATTGGTGGAGGGTGTTCCTGGAACTCTCCACCCTTAGACCCCACAGAGGAATTCACAGTGCTTTCTGATGTTCCCAGGGCTTGGCCAGCCAGCAGGGTAGCAAGAACCCAGCCAGCTACTGGATCCTTCCTTGCTCTCTAGCTCCCTCAAGCCACAGAAAAGCATGGCAGGACCAGTGATCGATCCTGCCTCCCCTCAGCCCTCTGCCTTGGAAGGCTGAGTTTCAGAGCCCATCTGTAGGCAGTGTGTCCTTCCAACATCTGCAGTTTTCCTGCCTCTTTTCTGGGGCTGTGACCACAGCAATGCAGAGCTCATATAGCTGCCTAGCAGTGGTTGCAATCCAACCATGCATACCCAGGCTTCCCAGGCTCAAGGATTCCCCTGAGCCAGTGGGGTTCTTGGCCCTACTGGACACCCATGACTCTGTTCCCTCAATCCCTCCTATGGGAGTTCTGCCATAGGTATACTAAACCCTCAGACCTAGGGCCTCCTGGAACTGAGTCAGTGGTAGTCTTGTGGCCAAGAAAGCCTGGACAGCTATTACACCATCCTGTTTGCGCCATCTGATTTGTTCGTAGGTGGCCAAGGCCAGGCAGGTCCAGAGCCAGACCAGAGTAAAGGCCAGGGCTCAAGCCCTGTTCCAGAGACCTTGGGTCTGGACAGAGGAAGCAAGGATGAGACAAAGGTATACTCACCACAAGTAGGACCTGGCAATTCAGTGCTCAGAGGGAGAGAGGGCCAGTCTCTAGCTGGCCTCTGCTCCTTTGTCCCCCTGCCAGGTACTCTTGCATGAGCACCGCTCTCCCCAGTAAACTCTTCTCCCCAATCTCCCCAGGACCCTTGTTTCCAGCAGGAGACAACCTAGGGAGGGTGTCTAAGGGAAGGTTGCTGATTGCCCAGATCCTTGCACTTACTCGTACACCAATGGGAAAAATTTTTGGAGTTCTGCCCTCCAAATCTACCCAGCACTGGGGAAGGTGGGGGCAGAAGGGTCAGCAGCTCCAGGTTACCCTCAGCTACACTGAGTCTGAGGCTAGCTTGTCTCAAAAACCAAATAGGGGAAAAAAGAAATCACCACTGGGAAGGGCACACAGGGGGAGCAGGAAAGTTAGGAGAGGCTAAGCGGAGAGTCTGAGTTCAACTTGCTGTCTGCAAGAGGACCAGCATCCTGCCTTCCTGGAAGGCTAGGATGTGGTCACCCACAGCCCACAGACAGGAAGGATGCTCCAAAGCAGGCCCTTCGGTCTCTATTACCCTAGGCAAGCTCAGGCGCAAGCATCAGTTTCCCTCTGCAGCTCAGATAAGCTCTCTCAGGACTGATGACCAAGGCTTGCATAGAAATGTAAGCAGTGTGTCAGTCAGCTCCTGCACACACGCATGCCTTCCCAGCCAGGTTGGTGGGCCAGGGCAGGAGGAACCACTGCTCTGCAGGCCCCAGCTGACGTGGCACCTCTGCTGACCACTTCTGCAGTAACCAGTGCTGATCTCGGCTCTGCCCCTGGGGGATTCCCCACTGACACTATCACATGCTGGCCAGGATGAGGAGCCCTGGACATACGCATACGTGACTCATGGGGGAGAGTCCTTACAGAGGCCAAGAAATGTGGGCCAAGTGTGCAGATGTGGCCCAGGGACCAGCCGCAGCTGTTCCAAGATGCTTCCTGCAGCCAGACCTTGCTCTTCTGTCCCTCCAGCATGTGCCGTCCTAACTGCATGGCTTCTGGCACTGCCCAAGCACATGGATGCTTCTCTTTAAGACAACTTTATTGTTATCCATATCTTGTTTTGCTTAGGTTTGGTTTTCAGTTTTTGAGATCAGGTCTCATAGGGTCGAGGCTGGCCTTGAACAAACTATGTAGTTAAGGATGATCCTGAACTCCTAATTTTCATGCCTCTACCTCCTATGCATTAGGAATAAAATGTGCACCACTATTCATGCTCAGGAGCACTGGTGTAGTCTTCTGTAGGGACAAGAGTTCCCAAAGCCAGGGAGCACTTAGGCAGAAGCAGGCTGATCTCAGTGAGTATGAGGCCAGCCTGGTCTACAGAGTGAGTTCCAGGACAGCCAGAAATACATAATGAGGCACTGTCTCTAAAAAAAAAAAAAGTCAGGGGCTGGAGAGATGGCTCAGAGGTTAAGAGCACTGGATGTTCTTCCAGAAGTCCTGAGTTCAATTCCCAGCAACCACATGGTGGCTCACAACCATCTGTAATGAGATACGGTGCCCTCTTCTGGCCTGCAGGCAGACATGGAGGCAGAATGTTGTGTACATAATAAATAAATCTTAAAAAAAAAAAAAGTCAGCAAATGGTTCAGTGAGTAAAAACACTTGCCACTAAGCCTGATAGCCTGAGCTCAGTCCCCAGGACCCACATGGTAGAAGGAGAGAGCCAACTCCTGTTAGCTGTCCTCTGGCTTCCACATGCATGCCGTGGCACCTAAGTACTGCTCCCAAACACAAATCCTAAATAAATGTATTCTAGCCAAGCCAGGCATGGAAGTGCAGATCTGTAATCCAAGCTATTTAGGAGGCTGAAGCAGAACAATTGGAAGTTCAAAGCCAGCCTAGGCTATAGAATGTGTTCAACGGTAGCTTAGGCAACTTGTCAAGACCTTGTCTTAAAATTAAAAGTGAGAAGAGAGCTGGGGGTGTGGTTTGATGGTAGAGTGCTTGCCTAGCATGTACAAAGCCCTGGGTTCGCCGGGCGTTGGTGGCGCACACCTTTAATCCCAGGACTCGGGAGGCAGAGGCAAGTGGATCTCTGTGAGTTCGAGGCCAGCCTGGTCTCCAGAACAAGTGCCAGGATAGGCTCCAAAGCTACACAGAGAAACCCTGTCTCGAAAAACAAAACAAAACAAAACAAAAGCCCTGGGTTCATAGAACAACAGCAAATATAAAATAGTCTTTCCAGGTAGACAGGAGAGACTTCCTTCATGTCCTACAAGGTGAAACATCTCCTCCCCGCCTATGAAAGAGGAGGTGAATCTGGAGCCTTTGCCTTCATATCTGACCCCTCACCACACCCCACCCAACCAATTAACAATCCCCCACCACTGAGGAAGAAGCCTTTGCCAGGTTCACCAGGCCTAAGTTCACTAGTTCCCTTGCCCGCCCAGTCCCCTTCTCAGGGTCTTCAGCCTGGAGAAGGGTATCCAACAATACTAGAAGTTGGCCACAGAAGTAGTCAATGCAGAAGCTTGTGAACTCCTAGGATTGAGCCAACTCTATGCTGAGACTCCCATCCCCAAGGCCCCTGGGCCCTTACGGTTGGCGCCTGTCTCCTGCCTTCCTTCACCTTTGGCTGGCCAAATTCCTGTCTGAGTAAAATCTCCCTTGGGGCCACAAAGACTTCCTCCAGTCCAATCCCAACACCTTAGCCTGAGGCCTAGCTCTGGTATTCAAGCAGAGCTGGGAACTGTCTGTTTCCCACACCATAAACAAACTGTCCAGGGCATGAAGACAAAGCCATTCTGACCTGCTCCCCCTACTTTCCTCTGACCTGTGTGTACAGGAGTCTTTCCTTTGCCAGGTGCATCTGCTCTATAGCTGCCATCAGCTCGTTCGTCACTTGGCCACTGACTGGCACAGTTATTGAATAGACTGTGGCAGATACCATGAAGCTCATAGCCAGGGCTTTATCTGCAATCTTGGGTACCCACTGAGGTCTAGGAATCTATCTCCCTGCAGACAAGAAGAGATGTCTGTATCATTCTTCCCTGTCTCTGAAGACTGGTTTGAGCAGGGCCTGCTCACTTGTCTTAACACGGTGTCCATCTGAATGGTTCTTCCCTTAGTGTGGTGACTGAGCAGGGTGCTGGGAACTGGGTCTTCTACCTTCATCCTTCTGGCCCCAGCATTAGACTGCCCACTGTTGCTGTTGATGGAAGCCACACCATCTTTAGAGCTAACTCCCTGACACTGGACATTGCCTCTGCATTGTGTCCCCTTAATTTAACCTTGGGGAAGGGCCAGTTGCTCCCTTCAAGGACCTGCTAGGTCCACTACCCAGAACATCAGGTTCCTACAGCAACAGGAACAGAGCCTTGTGCTGGGACTAACTCTGTGGAGAGTGACATGCAGTCATCCTGGCCCTGTAGCCACTCCAGCCCTGGATAGGACAATGTCAAGATAATAGAAACCCTGTCATCCTACCAGGCATCCACGAGACAAGTCGCCTGTACCTACATCTGTCCTGTTGAGGACAGTGACAAGGAAGAAGGAAAAGATTTCCTGTAATGCCTGTAATTCCTGTAATGCTGTCACTGGGAGTCCTAGCAGTTCAGAGGATGATCCTCCTGCGGAGGCCACTCAAATCAAAGGTCCTCCCAACAGGAGAAAACTTGTACCTCCCAATCCTGCCTTGGCTCTCTTACAGTATTATATCATTCCAATCTATGTGCCTTTGGGCCAGTCACTTATCCTTGGTGTGACCAACCCATCCCAAGTTTTCTGGAGTCATTCTGGGAAAGCCACACCCAGGACCTCTCATACTCCTAGCAGCAATGGAACAAATGTCCTGGCTTTCACCCATTCTTGATGCCCCATGCAAGGAGCAGGTCTGCCCACAGGTCTTCACATTCCAAGGTGGCATTGAAGGGGACACAGAAGCTCCCAGCTCATGGGAGCTGTAGGCCCAGCACCTAGAACTGTCTCTGACATCCATCTCCGCTGTTTGCATTCCCCGGAAGCATAGCTGGGAACAGGATCTGGTCTCAAGCAGCTTATCTGGGAACCAAACTTGAAGCACAGAATTAAAGAAGGGTTGAAAATGACGCACAGGACAGCAGCAAGCAGGTGGCTGCTGTGGCAGCCAGGTCAGCTACAGAGGAGATTTTTGCAAGGCTGGGGAAAGCGGGCTGCCTGAGCGCCGGGGGGGGGGGGGGGGTTGGACAAACAGGGTCTGCTGAGGGAGCACAGGTGTGTGTGTGTGGGGGGTGCAGCAAGGCAGGTGAGGAGAAGGGGGGTGTTGGGGAAACTGCTTAGAAGAACCTTGGAAAGTTGAGGCACAGATGTAGGGATAATAAAGAGTGGAGAGGCATGAGCAAGGAAAGTGTTGGGAATCTCCTCTCCAGCCTCCTATCCCATCCCAAACCCCATCCAGATGTTTAGCTGGGAGCTCTGCATCAGTCTCATCTCTCTCCAGACCCTGCCTTCAGAAAGCCCACCAAACAGTGGTTCCTCCCCCTGAGATGCTCGGGACCACGCCTATAAGGTATTTAAGACCCGGGCCCTGGACGTGCCACCTGATTTCTTCTCCTCCCATTTCTGAGAGTCACCTGGGATGCTTTGCTTTGCTTTACTCTGTTTATTAAATCTGGTCTTACCGATTCCGTGGGATTTGTCCCATTGCATAGGCGGAGAAACCCACAACCAGGGATTTCAAAAGTACTTATCCAAAGGAAGTGGATGAAGAGAAAAAAAGAAAAAGGAATGAACAGAAGGAGCAGAAAGTGGGGAGGAAGAAATGAGAAGAGGGAAGAAAGAACTTGGTAAGAAGAAAAAATAACAAGAAGTTTGTCATAAGCCAAGTATGGTGGCCATGCTTGTCATGCCGGCACTGGGGATCTGGATATATGAGGATCAGAAGTTTAAGGTCATCCTTGGCTACACATTGAATTAGTTGGAGGCCAAGGCCAACCTGGGCTACATGAGATCTTGTTTCAAAAATTGAAAGATGGCCAGGCATTGGTGGCACATCCCTTTAATCCCAGTGCTCAAGAGGCAGAGGCAGGTGGATCTCTGTGAGCTCGAGGCCAGCCTGTTCTACAGAGCGAATTCCAGGACAGGCTCCAAAGCAATACAGAGAAACCCTGTCTTGAAAAACAACAACAACAACAACAACAACAACAAAATTGAGAGATCAAAGGAAGGGAGAGAGGAGGGAGGGCAGGAGGTTTGACCCAGAGGTTGAGATCTTGCCCAGCAAGAACAAGGCCCTGGCTTCCAACCCTAGCATGGGAGAAACTGAAAAAAATATCTCCAGCCTCCATCTAGAGCTGAAGGAGAGCCAGGGCTTCTCCTGTCCTAGAGGTTACAGAGATCTGGGGAATACTCTGTTCCACCCAGAGCAGAGGTCATGGAGGTTTCACAGGTGGAAGTTGTAGGCCAGAGAATTAATGTAAGAAGGCCTTGGGGTGGGTGAGGAGCCAACCCTAGGCCAGGTACAGCTAGCTAGCCTGGAGGGAGGTTATGCTCATAGGATTGTGTTATTTTCCTAGAGAACCACAGCCTGATGGATAAGCTCATTTCAGAGCAGGGCCCACAAGGAGAACAGTAGTAACTCTGGCTTGGCCTTTCCTCCTCTAGACCAGGCCCATGTGTGCTTGAACACACACACACACACACACACACACACACACACACACACACACACACACAAACACACCCTTGTGTGTATTCATGGGACCCAGATATTTGCAACTTTCAGTATCACAGATATCCCACCTCTGTTACAGAATTCCCACCCAGTTCTGCAGCCGCCTCAGG